ATTACTATACATTATTTTGAATTACCTTGAAGTATATGAATTATCTTTTATCTGAAGTTTCGTGAATTATCATGAATTATCTTGAATTTGAATTTTCTTGAATTACTATGAATTATCTTAAAGTATATGAATTATCCTGAATTATCTGAAGTATCGTGAATTTTCATGAATTAAATTGAAGTAGGTAAATTATCTGAAGTATCGTGAAATTTCATGAATTACCTTGAATTACCTTGACTTACCTTAAATTACTTTGAATTATCTCGAATTACTATACATTATGTTGAATTACATTGAAGTATATGAATTATTTTTTATCTGAAGTTTCGTGAATTATCATGAATTATCTTGAATTAATTTGAATTATCTAGAATTACTATGAATTATCTTAAAGTATATGAATTATTCTAAATTATCTTAAGTATCGAGAAATTTCATGAAATACCTTGAATTACTTTGAATTATCACGAATTACTATACATTATTTCGAATTACCTTGAAGTATACGAATTATCTTTTATCTGAAGTTTTATGAATTATCATGAATTATCTTGAATTAATTTGAATTATCTCGAATTACTATGAATTATCTTAAAGTATATGAATTATCCTGAATTATCCTGAAGTATCGTGAATTTTCATGAATTAAATTGAAGTAGGTGAATTATCTGAAGTATCGGGAAATTTCATGAATTACCTTGAATTACTTTGAATTATCTCAAATTACTATAGATTATTTCGAATTACCTTGAAGTATATGAATTATCTTTTATCTGAAGTTTCGTGAATTATCATGAATTACCTTGAATTAATTTAAATTATCTCGAATTACTATACATTATTTCGAATTACCTTGAAGTATACGAATTATCTTTTATCTGAAGTTTTATGAATTATCATGAATTATCTTGAATTAATTTGAATTATCTCGAATTACTATGACTTATCTTAAAGTATATGAATTTTCTTGAATTAACTTGAAGTAGATGAATTATCCTGAATTATATGAAGTTTTGTGAATTAACATGAATTATATTGAATTTCTTTTAATCACCTTGAATTACTGTTAATTATCTTGAAGTATATGAATTATCCTTTATCTGAAGTATTGTGAATTATAATGAATTACCTTGAATTACTTTGTTTGAATTATCTCGAATTACTATAAATTATTTTGAATTAACTTAAAGTAGATGAATTATCCTGAATTATATGAAGTATTGTGAATTACATTGAATTTCTTTTAATCACCTTGAATTACTATTAATTATCTTAAAGTATATGAATTATCCTTTATCTGAAGTATTGTGAATTATAATGAATTACCTTGAATTACTTTGAATTATCTCGAATTACTATCAATTAATTTGAATTAACTTAAAGTAGATGAATTATCCTAAATTATATGAAGTATTGTGAATTACATTGAATTTCTTTTAATCACCTTGAATTACTATTAATTATCTTAAAGTATATGAATTATCCTTTATCTGAAGTATTGTGAATTATAATGAATTACCTTGAATTACTTTGAATTATCTCGAATTACTATCAATTAATTTGAATTAACTTAAAGTAGATGAATTATCCTAAATTATATGAAGTATTGTGAATTACATTGAATTTCTTTTAATCACCTTGAATTACTATTAATTATCTTAAAGTATATGAATTATCCTTTATCTGAAGTTTCGTGAATTATCATGAATTACCTTGAATTACTTTGTTTGAATTATCTCGAATTACTATAAATTATTTTAAATTAACTTAAAGTAGATGAATTATCCTTTATCTGAAGTATTGTGAATTATCATGAATTATCTTGAATTAATTTGAATTATCTAGAATTACTATGAATTATCTTAAAGTATATGAATTATTCTAAATTATCTTAAGTATCGAGAAATTTCATGAAATACCTTGAATTACTTTGAATTATCACGAATTACTATACATTATTTCGAATTACCTTGAAGTATACGAATTATCTTTTATCTGAAGTTTTATGAATTATCATGAATTATCTTGAATTAATTTGAATTATCTCGAATTACTATGAATTATCTTAAAGTATATGAATTATCCTGAATTATCCTGAAGTATCGTGAATTTTCATGAATTAAATTGAAGTAGGTGAATTATCTGAAGTATCGGGAAATTTCATGAATTACCTTGAATTACTTTGAATTATCTCAAATTACTATAGATTATTTCGAATTACCTTGAAGTATATGAATTATCTTTTATCTGAAGTTTCGTGAATTATCATGAATTACCTTGAATTAATTTAAATTATCTCGAATTACTATACATTATTTCGAATTACCTTGAAGTATACGAATTATCTTTTATCTGAAGTTTTATGAATTATCATGAATTATCTTGAATTAATTTGAATTATCTCGAATTACTATGACTTATCTTAAAGTATATGAATTTTCTTGAATTAACTTGAAGTAGATGAATTATCCTGAATTATATGAAGTTTTGTGAATTAACATGAATTATATTGAATTTCTTTTAATCACCTTGAATTACTGTTAATTATCTTGAAGTATATGAATTATCCTTTATCTGAAGTATTGTGAATTATAATGAATTACCTTGAATTACTTTGTTTGAATTATCTCGAATTACTATAAATTATTTTGAATTAACTTAAAGTAGATGAATTATCCTGAATTATATGAAGTATTGTGAATTACATTGAATTTCTTTTAATCACCTTGAATTACTATTAATTATCTTAAAGTATATGAATTATCCTTTATCTGAAGTATTGTGAATTATAATGAATTACCTTGAATTACTTTGAATTATCTCGAATTACTATCAATTAATTTGAATTAACTTAAAGTAGATGAATTATCCTAAATTATATGAAGTATTGTGAATTACATTGAATTTCTTTTAATCACCTTGAATTACTATTAATTATCTTAAAGTATATGAATTATCCTTTATCTGAAGTATTGTGAATTATAATGAATTACCTTGAATTACTTTGAATTATCTCGAATTACTATCAATTAATTTGAATTAACTTAAAGTAGATGAATTATCCTAAATTATATGAAGTATTGTGAATTACATTGAATTTCTTTTAATCACCTTGAATTACTATTAATTATCTTAAAGTATATGAATTATCCTTTATCTGAAGTTTCGTGAATTATCATGAATTACCTTGAATTACTTTGTTTGAATTATCTCGAATTACTATAAATTATTTTAAATTAACTTAAAGTAGATGAATTATCCTTTATCTGAAGTATTGTGAATTATCATGAATTATCTTGAATTAATTTGAATTATCTAGAATTACTATGAATTATCTTAAAGTATATGAATTATTCTAAATTATCTTAAGTATCGAGAAATTTCATGAAATACCTTGAATTACTTTGAATTATCACGAATTACTATACATTATTTCGAATTACCTTGAAGTATACGAATTATCTTTTATCTGAAGTTTTATGAATTATCATGAATTATCTTGAATTAATTTGAATTATCTCGAATTACTATGAATTATCTTAAAGTATATGAATTATCCTGAATTATCCTGAAGTATCGTGAATTTTCATGAATTAAATTGAAGTAGGTGAATTATCTGAAGTATCGGGAAATTTCATGAATTACCTTGAATTACTTTGAATTATCTCAAATTACTATAGATTATTTCGAATTACCTTGAAGTATATGAATTATCTTTTATCTGAAGTTTCGTGAATTATCATGAATTACCTTGAATTAATTTAAATTATCTCGAATTACTATACATTATTTCGAATTACCTTGAAGTATACGAATTATCTTTTATCTGAAGTTTTATGAATTATCATGAATTATCTTGAATTAATTTGAATTATCTCGAATTACTATGAATTATCTTAAAGTATATGAATTATCCTGAATTATCCTGAATTATCCTGAAGTATCGTGAATTTTCATGAATTAAATTGAAGTAGGTGAATTATCTGAAGTATCGTGAAATTTCATGAATTACCTTGAATTACCTTGAATTACTTTGAATTATCTCGAATTACTATACATTATTTCGAATTAACTTAAAGTATATGAATTATCTTTTATCTGAAGTTTCGTGAATTATCATGAATTAACTTGAATTAATTTAAATTATCTCGAATTACTATGAATTATCTTAAAGTATATAAATTATCCTTTATCTGATGTATCGTGAATTATTCTTTACCTTGAATTATTGTGAATTATCATGAATTACCTTAATTTACTCTGAATTGCTTTAAATTATCTCGAATTTACTATGAATTATCTGAAGTATCGTGAATTATCATGAATTATTTTAAAATATGAAGTACATGTACACCAATGTTAGTTACTTGTTTCCCCCTCAAATAATTATCAAAATAGGAATCAATAACAAATATATATATTAAATATAATAATAACAATCAATCGGAATTAATTTTTGTGTAATCAAACATGGTGCTATTAAATTTGATTTAAATGTTACCGACTGTGGATGATACTTCCGTAAGCGGAAACCCGCTTGATATACCAGGAATTGTAACTATGTTACAATTAACTTTTTCCCCCTTTGTCGAAATCGCTATAGGCACAAACGTCATAAAGTTGATAAAAAAAAAACATATGAAAAAAGATAAATTGGAAAAACCTATCGTGAATGCATAATTGTTTTTTCCAATTTTGCAAGATCCGCTAAGCGCCAACTTGAAATCGATAAAATAAAATAAAAAAAAAAAAAAGAAATTGAAAACCCATTTATCGGGAAATTAATATTCGAACTGAAGCCGGAATTAGTTTTTCTTCGTGTTTGCTTTAAGAAACGATTTTAAATCCTCTGACGCATTGTAGAAATTATTTTCTCGGTTTCCGGGAGTGAATTGAATATTATTTTTCTCCTCAATACTATATTTATGTCAGTAATAAAAATTCTGAAATCTTTATTTTTTTTTAAAAAAAGAAAACGTTTACATTTTTTTTTCTATTAGAAACAATAGATGTCTTTTGAGAAAAGAAAAATCGTCCTCGAATGATGAATGGAAAAAGGATATTAAGAGTGAAAGTTCGGAAAATTTGTCGATAGAAACATTGGACAGAAAAGAAAGTCCCATCAATCCATACAATCGAGTTGAGTATCCTCCAGACCAATGGTTACCAGTCAATGAAAATACAGATGTTGCGATCTCCAGCTTGGAACATGAATTCATTCTCAAGACACACATGAAAACATGTTCGAAAGAATCGCTAAAAACAGAAAATTTCCTTTCCTCTTGCAGGACAGATGAAGCATGCTCTAGCGAGGATATGTTTCAAAAACAAATTTACAAAAAAATAGAAAACAGAGTTAAAAAAGCTGTTAAGGTATTGTTTTTTAGTTTTGAAAATTTTTTAGAAATAAAAATTATTATCTTAATAATTTTTAATGTAAAAAAAAATGATTTTTTCCATAGAAGCATAAAGTCTTTTTAATACGTGGAGAACTACCAAAATTGAGAGAAGCTTTAGAAAATAGAGGATGGATACAGAAGTATGAGAGCATCAAAACAAGATCACTTCCATATGGTTAGATTTTGCGCTTGAAATAGTTTCTTGAGTGGACTTTTCCGTTGTCCTTGGGAGATACTCGAGCATACCAAATGGGTTGTTATTTTGTCTCCTCGTGCCATCCTTTTCAATTCAATTTAAACGTTCTCTTTTGGAAAATTTAAATGCTACATTGAAAAAGTTCCTCACATAATTTCAATCCAATTGGATGTTTAAATTTCTCCCATATTTGTAACGGTTTTGCAAAATCTTTGTTTTGTTAAAAAAAACTTTTATGTAGTAAAAAAAATTAACGTAATTTAATAATTTCTTTTCAGTTTAGGTAATAATTTACAATTACAATAATTGTAGGATTATAAATATAGTATTAATAATTAAAACATTAATTAGAAATCATATCGTTGAAATATATTTATTTACAAAATTATTTCATCTTTCACACAGGTCAAAGTCAACCATGCTTGGAGAGTAAATCTCTAGGGGATATTCAACAATCCGATGGTACATTGAATGAAAAAGCATTAATTTTCTCTATGTTATGTCACATAGATCCAGACTTCATTTGGGATTGCCGCAATAATTTTACTGAATGGGACAACAGTATAAAAAGCAGTACACTTTTGAATAGATTACAGAATTCAATTGCTTATACATCAAAAGTATAATTTTTCTTTTATTAAAATTAATTTTAAACACCCTGCTGAAAAAGAGAAATTAATTATATAACAAAAGTTCACAATGAATATCGGAATATTCTGAGCAATTAACTTTTTCTATAGTTAAATAATTCCATTGAACATTCATCTTTCGTATTTAAATTTTTACATCAATCAGAATTAGTGAAATGACTATTAATTAATGGCATTAAATTTACGATTAATTAATAAAAATTTATAGAAATCAATAATGAGAATTAGAGTTGTTTTTCACTAATTGTTTATTTGCAGATGTTTACATTGATATCAACAAAAATTCTTTATTTAATTCTCATTTTTAATAACTAGTGCAAATCTAAATTGAAATCTAGTTCTAATTTAATGCCATTGTCAAATTAAAATAGAATTCAAAATTTTCTACTATAATTCTATTCTGAATTTGAAGCGGAATAAAAAGTTTGGTTTAGTTCAGTTACTTTGTTACGGATTTTATAAGCATCATTTAATTTGGTAGAATTAGTGTTTGAAATAGAATCAAATATTAGGGTTTTAAATTCTTCTTCAAGTCTTCAAAAGGAATTAAATTCCTAATTTTAATTCTGTTTAGAATTTTGAAATTAATTTAACATTGCATTCTGCTTTAGATTTAAAACGGAATTAACTAAGAATTTCTGAACTTAGTAATTGAATTAGATTTTAAATTTTGTTTCATGTTTGCAATTCAATTAATTAAGGTTTAAATCAAAATTAAATTAGCCTCTTATATCCGTTATGAAACTAAATTATTATTTACTATATAATGTAACGAAGTAAATAAAACAAAAATTTTGGTCAGAATTTTCCTTTCGTTTCCGCGTCATAGTTATTTTTTTGTTAATACTATTAATTACGTTGAAAACTGTATTGGGTAAGAAGTTAACTTTAAAAATGAATAAGTCGAGGGGGAAATAACTTGTAAATTAAGGTGTACACTTTTGTTGAATTATCCTGAATTATCTTGAATTACATGAATTATCCTAAATTAATTGAATTATTCATTATCTGAAGTATCATGAATTATCATGAATTACCATAAATTACCTTGAATTACTTTGAATAACTCGAATAATTACGAATTAGCTTGAATAAACTTGAAGTAGATGAATTATACTTAATTATCTTGAATTATTATCTCGAATTACTATGAATTATCTTAAAGTATATGAATTTTCTTGAATTAACTTGAAGTAGATGAATTATCCTGAATTATCTGAAGTATCGTAAAGTTTAATGAATTACCTTGGATTATCTGGAATTACCTTGAATAACTTTGAACTATTGCGAATTATTATAAATTATTTTGAATTAACTTGAAGTAGATGAATTATCCTGAATTATATGAAGTATTGTGAATTAACATGAATTACATTGAATTTCTTTTAATCATCTTGAATTACTATTAATTATCTTGAAGTATATAAATTATCCTTTATCTGAAGTATTGTGAATTATAATGAATCTTAATTCTGTTTAGAATTTGGAAATTAATTTTACATTGCATTTTGCTTCAGATTTAAAACAGAATTAACTAAGAATTTCTGAACATAGTAATTGAATTAGATTTTAAATTTTGTTTCATGTTTGCAATTCAATTAATTAAGGTTTGAATCAAAATTTAATTAGCCTCTTATATCCGTTATGAAACTAAATTATTATTTATTATCATGTAACGAAGTAAATAAAAAAAAAAATTTTGGTCAGAATTTCCCTTTCGTTTCCGCGTAAAAAAAAAAATTAAGTATTCGAATAATGTAATCGGTGCATGGTTATTTTTATCAATAATCGTTAAAAGATTCCATTATAATTTTCTATTATAAGAGCAACAATTTCTGACAAAATAAATAATTGGTTTAACTAAGTATAATTAGATTTCAAATTAGATTTTAATATATAAAATTTCTTAACGCTTCTTTTGAAATTTATCCAATTGAATGATCCAGCGACCTAATGATGATTCTGAAATACATTTGGTTTTTGTTTCCCGTCGATGTTGTTTTCTACAAGGGAGACAAATAGTATATTTTGAAAACGTATCTCATCTACCATATAATTTTTTGTAGTAATTCAAAAAGAACAATCTTGTTGCAATAACCTTAAATTTTTTTTTTACTCTCCACAGTACATTTATCTATCTATGCAGTTAATAATAATTGATGACAAGCATTTGTCACGGATTAAAGGGGGAGACGAAAAAGAAGCACTGAAACGAATGAGTTTCAAATTTCGTAGCTTTCTAGCAGGGTGCAATTGAGCTATAAAAGCACTATAAAAGTAATTGGATTTTATGATTGTAGCTGGGAATGGCGAACATTTTACAAGACTCTCAGTGGTTATACGAGAAGGACGTAGCAGATGTCAACTTTCCACGTAGCTACAACCTTTCCAGAGAGCTGACCGACTTCATAAAAGATTTTCGTCAAACAGCCGCAGCGGGATTTCTGAGATGGTTCGTGGAGATGTTTAAAGATGAAGAGATGGACAAAGATTGGGATACACTTGCCGTGAACATTGGTCAAGTGGAATTTGCACGAAAACGCTGTGAAGAATATATAGCCGAATTGAAACAGGAGAATATCGATAATTCTGATTTAGATATATCTGAAGACGATTGGAATTGCTTTTGTGACGATTACAACTCTCTCCAGCATAAAGTGGCCGAGATTTCCAACAGTAGAAGTAGTAGTAGCAGCAGCAGCAGCAGCACGAGCATTCAATCTCGATTCAAGGTGTGGATCTCTCGTTTGGGATTATTCTCTTCTTGCTAACCTTGTTGCTGCGCTCTCGTCCCGTTTCTTCCGATTGTTCAATTATCCAATCTCAGACCAGCTTAGGAGAATCTGATCCGTTGGATGAACAAGTTCTGTGGTTTCAACTAACACCTTACTTGTTTGACCTAATTTCCATTTATCTCTATTGTCACGAACCATTGTTTTCCCTTCGTTTCAATCTATACTAAATATAGTTTACATTTTCTCACCACATCAATGTTTTATCATTCATAGATTTAATGTTATAAATTTTTTTGACAAAAATCTACTCTCTCTAAAATTTTATATTTCTGAATCATATTCCTTTGGAATTCATTGGTGGGGGGGAAGTTGAATATTTCTGAAAAAGAAAAATTGAAAACCAATAATTTCTGATGTGGAATCGACAATTGAAAATATTTTTCATAAAATTCTATATTTGAAATTATTTTCAAGAATACGCGCAGGATACATTAATTATTTTTTTTGTAAATTCCTTAAATTCCAAGTATGGAGAATATTGAAAAAGTATTTTTCCAGGAGGTGTACACGCAAGCTGTTTCTGTATTGGAACAATTGAAGGAAATCGATTGTCAGTATAATTTAAATGGAACAAGAAATATATGGATTTTAAAGCCAAATCATTTATGTTGTGGAGTTGGAATCAGTATTTCGCACAATTTACAAGAAATTCAACACCGTGTTGAAACAAAGCCAAAAGATTATTTTATCATTCAAAAATATATTGGTATGTTTAGAGTGTACACGTGAAATTATAATGAAATTATTGATGTTTAATAATTTTCAGAGGATCCATTGTTGGTAAAAGGGACGAAATTCGATATTAGACTATGGTATCTCGTGACGTCGAGTTTTCCACTCTCGATATGGATTTTCAAGTAATACTTCATATATCAAATAAATTTTTTATATTTCCTTCGATACATTTTTACAATGTGGTAATAAAAAAATTAATTAAAATTTTCAATCCAGGAGATAAATTTCACTTTGGTTTCTTGCTCTAATGTTGTAAATTCTAAAAAGATTAAAAAAAAAAAAATTCTTGATTAAAATTAATATTGGATGATTTTTTAAAAAGAATATTTTTTGCATTAAGTTTCTCTAAATAAAGAAAAATTTATTTTCTATCAAAAAAAAAAATGTGAAATCTTTTTTGTTAAAGGGAAGCTCTTCTTCGATTTAGTTCAAAACCCTATAGCTTTTCTTCATACCATGAAGTGATTCACATCTGCAACACTGCCATTCAAGAGAGATATGACTACGAGAGACGAAGAAGAAGGAAAAGAGGTGATGTCGTCGAAACCACAGAGACTGTTCGAGATCAAGGATGGGATTGCGAGAAGCTCAACGAATGTTTGAAGTAATTCTGAAAATCGCTATTCTTCTTTTACCAGTCGAGGGATACTTGCTTAATGGCACGTTTCGTTTGCACGATTCCCCAGGGATGCTTCTCAAAACTCGAGGACTTCACTCGAATCCGTCCTCTTTAATAATATAAAAAAAAAAGAAAGAGGAAGGCTCGCTCTTTCCAGCGAACGAGACGTGCAAGCTCAACTCTTAATGTTTCCCGTGAGAATTTTACAAGGCACAAGCAATTAGATTATTTTTATCTATTCTCTTTCTCTCTCTATCTCAAATTGTGTCAACTTTCAAATAAATTTGTAAATAATCTATTGCAATGATTAAACATTTTTTTTTTAAATAATTTTTAAATAAAATTCATTTTCCAGAGAAATGGGTTATGATGGAGAGCCTTTCTACGATACGATATATCCAAGAATGTCACAAGCAATCGTGATGACAATGTTAGCTGCCCAAGAATCAATGGATAAACGTCGTTGTAGCTTCGAATTATATGGTGCTGATTTTATGGTTATGGAAGATCTCTCCGTTTGGCTCATTGAAATTAACACCAATCCCCGAATGCATCCACCGAGTTCGAAAATCACTCAACGACTTTACAACTCTGTTTTGGACAGCCTTGTCAAAGGTGAATCGATACTCTCGAGTAAAGTCCCTTATAAGCTTAGTTCTCTCCTCTTTAATGCTCCAACGATTCGAATGTAATTTGTGGGATGGTGTGAGGGTTTTGCCAATGCTTTGAAAAGCGCCCTAATCCTAGTCAAAGCAGTATATAGGAACTTGAGATGATTTCCGAGGGACAACATTTTAAATCGGTTTTCATTGACTGGAGGGTTGCGGATTTCTAACATGATTGTTATCAGACTTAGGGCGAGTTTCAGAAAGGCAATTTATCTCTCGTTTTTTTACGCAATGAAAATACGACGATCGACTTGACCTTGAAAAAAATTATAGATTTAGTAATTTTTTGTTAATTTAGAAAATTTTTTCCATAGAGCGAGAGAAGAGAATTTAGTCATATTTCAGAATTTTATTTTCACTTTTCATTATCTTTTTTTTTACTCGTAAACTACTATTCATTGTAAATTTAATGTTTTTCTTATTTCCATTTCCTTCTTTAAACACATTTTTCGCCTTAAATTCTCTCTCTTTTTTAAATCCTCGTCTTTGCTACATTCCTCACCTTTCACTTTTTTCTGGATTTTAAGTTTTTTTTGCTTCTATCCATAACTTTTTTAAGAAGACCTTTAGTTTTTACACATTTTTACTGCTCTCTTCTTTCTATTTTCATCTTTAAATCATTTTTCTTTTGCTCCTCAATTTTGTTTTTTTTTTTAAATTCCATGTCTCCTATTCTAATCTTCATCTCTTTTTAGAAACTTCGCGATACGAATAAGAATTAATTCAATTGGAATTATTTTTTTTGTTAATACAATTAATTTCGTTGAAAACTGTATTGGGTAAGAAGTCAACTTTAAAAATGAATAAGTCGAGGGGGAAATAACTTGTAAATTAAGGTGTACACTTTTGTTGAATTATCCTGAATTAACTTGAATTGCATGAATTATTCTAAATTAATTGAATTATCATGAATTATCATGAATTACATTGAATTTCTTTTAATCATCTTAAATTACTATTAATTATCTTGAAGTGTATGAATTATCCTTTATCTGAAGTATTGTGAATTATAATGAATTACCTTGAATTACTTTGTTTGAATTATCTCGAATTACTATAAATTATTTTGAATTAACTTGAAGTAGATGAATTATCCTGAATTATATGAAGTACTGTGAATTAACATGAATTTCTTTTAATCATCTTGAATTACTATTAATTATCTTGAAGTATATGAATTATCCTTTATCTGAAGTATTGTGAATTATAATGAATTACCTTGAATTACTTTGTTTGAATTATCTCGAATTACTATAAATTATTTTGAATTAACTTAAAGTAGATGAATTATCCTGAATTATATGAAGTATTGTGAATTACATTGAATTTCTTTTAATCACCTTGAATTACTATTAATTATCTTAAAGTATATGAATTATCCTTTATCTGAAGTATTGTGAATTATAATGAATTACCTTGAATTACTTTGAATTATCTCGAATTACTATGAATTAATTTGAATTAACTTGAAGTAGATGAATTATCCTGAATTATATGAAGTATTGTGAATTACATTGAATTTCTTTTAATCACCTTGAATTACTATTAATTATCTTAAAGTATATGAATTATCCTTTATCTGAAGTATTGTGATTTATCATAAATTACTTTGGATTTCTTTGAATTATCTCGAATTACTATTAATTATCTTGAAGTATATGAATTATCCTTTATCTGAAGTATTGTGAATTATAATGAATTACCTTGAATTACTTTGTTTGAATTATCTCGAATTACTATAAATTATTTTGAATTAACTTAAAGTAGATGAATTATCCTGAATTATATGAAGTATTGTGAATTACATTGAATTTCTTTTAATCACCTTGAATTACTATTAATTATCTTAAAGTATATGAATTATCCTTTATCTGAAGTATTGTGAATTATAATGAATTACCTTGAATTACTTTGAATTATCTCGAATTACTATAAATTAATTTGAATTAACTTGAAGTAGATGAATTATCCTGAATTATATGAAGTATTGTGAATTAACATGAATTATATTGAATTTCTTTTAATCATCTTGAATTACTATTATTTATCTTAAAGTATATGAGTTATTCTTTATCTGAAGTATTGTGATTTATTATAAATTACTTTGGATTTCTTTGAATTATCTCGAATTAATTTTAAGTTTATTTGTTATTCGGAATTATCTAAAGTTTCTTGAATTGACATGAATTACTTGGAATTACTTTGAATTTTCTCGAATTATCTCGAATTACTGTGAACTATCTTAAAGTATATAAATTATCCTTTATCTGATGTATCGTGAATTATCCTTTATCTTAATTATTATGAATTACCTATTGAATTACTTTGAATTATCTGGAACTACTATTGAATTACTTTGAATTATCTGGAATTACAATTAATTATTTGAAATATCGTGAATTATCATGAATTATTTAAAGTATAAAGTAGGTGTACACCAAATTTTTTACTTGTTTCCCCTCGGAATAAGTTAATATAAAAAAAGGTTCCGGTGATCCTAAGTAATAAAAAGAGATTATTTAATTTAGAATCTTCTTGCAATATTTCTAAAGATCCGTTCATGCTTTCAAATCAGTCAAAGTTATTTTAACACTTCTTTGATTAATTTTATAACAATGTATATATTAATAAGCCAATTTCTGAAGATCTGTTCAATCCCCCACAGCAGCGGATATTCCTAAGATGACCCATTATAACCATCTTTTGTTTTTAGTTTCCAAACTTTTGAAACTAATTTTCTTTGTTTTTTTATTATATGACAACAAATCGATAAAAAGGAATTACCTCTCTGGTAAATATTTTTGTTTTCTTTATAAATAAAATTCATTAAAACTAATTTTCCAAGTTTGCGAAAACCTACTGGTCAGTGGTAGAGAGACGAAAGGAAAAGCATCTTGTAAGGTGTCATGATAAGAGGAGGAGGTGAAGGAAGAGAGAATCTGGCTTCGGTGAAGAGAGGCGAACTGGAAACTAGATGTGCGCTATCAATAGGGAGGAAACCCAAACGTCTTACTCCGATTCAAGACGAGGATCAAGTCTCTTGAGCTTTTCGTAACCTCGGTTTCCCGGCCCTTTCAACGTCTTTTCCAAGATTGACTCATCGGAAATCGCGAGACTTGGGAGTGAAGTTAATTTCAGAGTTTCGCCAACTATATATCAACTCAAGAAAGTGTATGAAAAAAAAAGAGAAATTGAAAACTGAAACTTTTTTAAAAGCACTGACGTTTAAATTTTTTTATGCAAATCACTTTTAAGAAGCGTTTCCTTATATAGAAAGTGATAATTTAAAAATTATATTCCCTCTAAGAAAATGTTATTCAAAGGATAAAAATTTTTTTATTATTTTTATCAACAAATTTTTTTTCTTCGTTTTTTTTGTGCAGTAATCCTGGATCTACCTTTGAACCCAAGTGCCGACACGGGAGGATTTGCTTTAGCGTATAAGCAAACTATACCAGAGTTGAGGCCATATCTCGGGCCATGTTTGTTTGCCGTGGGCAAGTCGATGAAGTTACATGAGTGTCCTGAGAAGAAACAGGATGATAGTCGGGCAATCATTTGTAATTCTTGGAGCAAGGAAAATCGTGCTCGGACCGCCCCGCCAAGTGTCTCTCGCTTGAGGGATCCTCAGGTCGTTGACTTTATCGACTATTTAAACTCTGAAGGCTGAGCTGCTATATGACTTCAATATCTTCAAATATCAAAAGTAAGTCAAAATTTCAAGAATATTTGAATGTAAATATTGTGACAATTTTCTTATATATATGTTTCAACTATTTCTAGATGTTTCTACTAGATCAAAAATATTATTAGAAAAAAATCGAAGCATATAAATTTATACAAAAAAATATAATTTTATAAAAATTGGAAAAATAATTATTATTTTCAATAAAAGTTAATCAAGGTTCAAGCAATAAAGATATAAATAGCTTGTAATAAAATGGTAGCGCGTTTTAATTCGAAAAATCTAAAAAGCATTTTGTAATACAAAAACAATAAAAGGTGATATTTTGACAGAAATGATAAATTTTTTTTTTTAATGAATGGAGAGAAAATAATTATCATTGGAACTTTATTTGATATTTTTTAATGTTACCAGAATTTCTTTTTTTTGGGGAGAAAATTTTGCCAAAGTCTTTGGATTAATAGTCAATTTGTAATAAAATAAATATCGGTTCTGATTTGTCCTCTGGACTTCTCACATGAATCAAATCAACATCGGATAGTTCAGAAATCTACGTTACCGACGGCCGGTAACGGTATCGATTATCGATCGCGAATTTGAAAAATTAATTAATCTAAATGTCACCGAGGAGTGAGGGCGCTGATAAGCGACGCTTTCGTGTTTGACTCGTCGGCCATTTTACTCTCATTCTCATCCTGGTGTTCGTCGAGTTAGTGTCATTCTCTTTTGGTGAAATATTTCAAAATGTAAATTGTAAAAATTCAGACAAAACGATGATCGTCGTCATTATTTAAATTCGGACCATGAGTTCCAATTATTTAATTTTTGGGTCGTTTCCTTCCGAATTGATCTCATTAATATTATGATTAATGAAATTAAATATGAATCTTGTCTTTCGGCCTTCTGTCAGTTTTTGACTTTTTCTAAAAGAATCCTTTGCAGATAGCAACGAACTGACATTTTTGTCATTGGTAAATAATTGGAGGACTTATAATAATAATTAGGAATCAATAATTACTTTGAATAGTATTTAAATATATATATTTTTTTAATTTCAACTTATTATTTTGGCAATAAACACGCTAGGAGAAAATTAGTTGGTAAAAATAGTAGTTGTAGTTTAAATTCGCAGATATAATTAAATCATTGAAATAAATAGTTGATGAATTGGATTTACAATCATTCAATCAGACGGCATTCAGACAATAAGAATAATTAATGAAAAAACAACAAGTGAGGAAGTCAGTCGATCAGTTGGAGAATCAACTTATCAATCAAGTTAATTAACTTCTTTTCAGTGAATTATTTAATGAGTCTGTTTATCAATGAGATATAATTAATCAATTATAAAATCAGTATCAATATTTCTAATTTCAGAAATGATATTAATTTGTTTGAAACACGCGTGAAATTTTAATCACGTTGCTGGATTGTTTTGAATTATGAAGAGTAAATCAAAACATTCTTTATAAAATAAAATTTTGAACAAATTATAATTTTTACATTTTAAAATAATTCGATTTATTATCTTCAGCATAAAATAAATTCATTTATATAAAAATATATTTAAAAAAGATTCAAATACATTTACTAGTTCTTTATTTTAACATAAAAATCTTGTTAACGACATTCGGAATAATTTTAATGATTTAAATTGTTTGTCAATATTAATTTTTAATTTTCTAATGCATAGAATAGTACTTTTTTATATTTCCCATAACGACTAAATATTCAAGTTTTTGTTTCGTCAGTAATATTTGAAAAGCAAAATAAACGAATCGATTTTATTTTTTTCACCAAACTGTTCTTCGAATGAAATTTGTAATTCAAACCACCACTTTTCAGAATGAAGCAAATGTACAAACCAAATAAACTATTCAATTACGAAACCTTTTAGCTTGTTAATTTTAAATTGCTTTTTTCTCCATTTTTATTTGAGTGTCGTTTTGGTTTTTTATTTTTTTTTTTCACACGCCAAGGATTTCAATTTGTTAGCAACACATTAACGGAGACAAAAAAAAATTTTTTAGTTTAATTTTATAGAATTTCGTATTATATACACTTCATAACAATAAAATTTCAAATTATTGATAACATCGCAATGTGCTGCTTATATATAAATATTCGAAAAGAAAAAGATCTTTTTAGATTTTATCAGTCTTTCAAGGAAAATCGCAACAGTTGCGAAAGGAGTCTTTTAGTTTAACGAGACACTTTTGCCGTGGTGATCATGAAAATGCAAGCGACTGCTGTGTCGAAAGAGAAGAATTCCACGTCGAGTCTTTTTACCCCTGGAAATACCTGTATTGGGAGCATGAGAGAGAAAAAAAAATGAAAGAGAGAGAGAGACCAGCGAACTACCGAATCGTAAAAGTTTGCCACAAAATTCCTGAAATTTCCCTCTAAAGTGCGATTCTGAATTGTGGAATTTCCGCGCACCAATAAAAGTAACAAGTGAAAAGAAGCCGCAGAAAAGTCGATTTGCAATTTTCAAACAAATTGCGGTTTCGTGAACTTAATTCTCGATCAGTTTCCAAGGACTAGGAATTTCCTGTTGATAAAAATTTGAATTTTTCTTTTAATTTCAAAGTCCATATTATTATTATTATTATAGCTTTAAATATTCTGACCAAAAGAATGAATGGTGCAAAAGATGATCAAATGTGATTTGAACAAGAAGCAAAGTTTACCCGACGACGCTCGAGTAAATCCCCATTTAGCATCATGGGCTCCTCTACTATAATTGATTGAATAAGAAGTAATAATTGCTGCATAAATTAAATAATAAATAGAATAAACATGACAGAGGGGATTTGGTGACGGTAGTTACATGATAGCAATACTGAAAAAGTTGTGTATTTTTGTGTCAGTTTGTTATTAATTGTAAGTGATTACAGTGTTTTCAGTATTCAGGATAATTTTTTATAGTGAGAAAATATGAAGAATATAGTTTGTAATTAATTGTCAGTGATTACAGTGTTTTCAGTATTCATGATAATTTTTTTGGTGAGTAAAAATTGAGAGTTTTAGTTTGTAATTAATTGTTATAACGATTTCAGTATACATGATAATTTTTTTATGGTAAAAAGTTGAGTGATCATTTGTAACTAATTATCAATAATTACAGTGATTTTACTATTAAATTTAATTTTTCATATTTTTACAGTGATTTCAGTTTTTGTGTTAAAGAAGTTATGAACTGGGCAAGAAAAATGTATTGTATTCTGTTTCTTTGTTATTGTGATAGTTAATTGTAATCATCTGTTTACTAATTTGATAAGCAAACTTTTGAGATTAATGACTTGATCTACGCAAAGATGTATTTAATCATGGTCAATTATATGTTGCATTTTCACGAACTCGGTCTTGGGAATCTCTCAAATTTTTCTTGGAAGTCAACAAACATAAAATATTGTCAAAAATTATGTACATATACAAAATTATACATTTAAAATTAATAAATAAACTAGCGATGTATTCCTCGCTCGCTAACGCACGCTCGGTTAAAATTGTACTTATTGTTGTTTACTTAATGTAGTTTATGTATATTATATATATAATTTATGATTTAAATTAATATCTTATTAATATTGTATAAAATTTATCTTAATTTTGATCAGTTTCATTGAAGGATGAAATGACAATTGTTAAATATTAGATTTTTTTTATTATAATTATGACAACAATATTAATTATATTATATTATAATATAATTTTTTTATCTTAAATTATATTATATTATATTGATGTAAATTGTCCCACAAACACATGTAGATTTTGCAAATTTTTGAGAAAAATATTCGTAATAAATCGAAATACTTTTTAAAATATCGGTTTTTATTTTTATTATCTATAGTAAACCGTTATAAAGAGATTCTTCTTTGATTTTACATATATTACTAGTTCTCCGGAATAATGATGTATTTGAATTAAATAATGATGTTGTTAAACGAATGACAGGTGAACCTAGAGAATATTTAAGTATAGATTCATCTGAAGAAGATGAAAAGTGTGACACAATAACTAACTTAATACCAATTGAAGTATTAAATATTTTAACTCCAAATGGACTTCCTCCTCACAAATTAATATTAAAGATTGGTGCAATTGTGATACTTTTAAGGAATATTAATTTAGAAAGAGGTCTTTGTAATGGAACAAGACTAAAAGTTATTAAAATGGGCAGTTTTTCTATTCATGCACAAGTAATAACGGGAAATTATAAAAATGAGATTGTAATTTTGCCACGAATTACATTGTCACCGTCTAACGAAGAAATACCATTTCAAATGTCAAGAAAGCAATTTCCAATAAGGCTTGGATTTGCTTTAACAATCAACAAATCTCAAGGCCAATCTTTCCAAAAAGTAGGCATATACCTTCCTTCACATGTTTTTAGTCCGTGACAATTATATGTTGCATTATCAAGAGTAACTTCAAAATATAATCTTAAAGTATTATTATATAAAAATTCAAGTATTACACTTAGCGAAAAAGGAATAAAAAAAAGATAGGCAATGAAAAAGAAATTTATGTAAGAAACATTGTTTACCAAGAAATATTACAATAATATTTAACACATGTTTTAAAAAAATTCGACTACGAAGAAATCTACTAACTCTACTTTATAAATAAATTAATTCATTGAATTGGAAATGGCTGCGCTGAACTGTAACGGCAGCGCCATAAAAAAATATTATAATTATTATTATACTGATCATATCGCATAGAAAGGATTAAAAAACCATTTAAAAGAAAAAAATATATAAAATATAATCAAGTAATAACAAAAACTGTAAACTGGCTGCGCTGAGTAGTAACGGCTGCGTAACATAACGAAAATAATATAATAAATTATAATAATTTATTAATAACATCACTCATATGAAAATGAATTATAAAAAATTAATTTAAAAATTAATAAGAAATAAAACAACTTACGATAATTGCAGAATGGATGCGATGAATAAGTTAAAACATATTATAACTTTACATTATTGTAAATGAAAATTAAGTATTAAAAATAAAAAAAATCAATATTTTTCTAAGTCCCTAATTTTTTTGGACTTATAAAAAAAAATAGTTTGTAAGATTTTCTAACAGCATATATGCAAAGTATTTTAATTTATTTGAAAATAATTGAAAATAGATTTTTCAAGGACGGTGTCGAGGTCACAGGGTCGGTGACGTTTTTCGAAATTTGTTAACTTAATATAATAGAAGATGTTTCGTTTTAAATTAAGAAACGTTAAAATTATTAAGTTAAAAACATTTGATTTTAATGACACTTAAAATTAGACACAATTTTATAGGTTACTAACTAAAAATTGAAAAAACAACAATAAATAATAAAAAATAATAATAAAAAATTGAAAAAATCAAAAAATTCTTAAAAAATTGCAAAATAACCCTTTTTCGGGTTAAAATTGAAAAAAGATGTTACATAAAAATAGTTTGTAAGGTTTTCTAACAGCATATATGCAAAGTATTTTGATTTATTTGAAAATAATTAAAAATAGATTTTTCAAGGACGGTGTCGAGGTCACAGGGTCGGTGACGTTTTTCGAAATTTGTTAACTTAATATAATAGAAGATGTTTCGTTTTAAATTAAGAAACGTTAAAATTATTAAGTTAAAAACATTTGATTTTAATGACACTTAAAATTAGACACAATTTTATAGGTTACTAACTAAAAATTGAAAAAACAACAATAAATAATAAAAAATAATAATAAAAAATTGAAAAAATCAAAAAATTCTTAAAAAATTGCAAAATAACCCTTTTTCGGGTTAAAATTGAAAAAAGATGTTACATAAAAATAGTTTGTAAGGTTTTCTAACAGCATATATGCAAAGTATTTTGATTTATTTGAAAATAATTGAAAATAGATTTTTCAAGGACGGTGTCGAGGTCACAGGGTCGGTGACGTTTTTCGAAATTTGTTAACTTAATATAATAGAAGATGTTTCGTTTTAAATTAAGAAACGTTAAAATTATTAAGTTAAAAACATTTGATTTTAATGACACTTAAAATTAGACACAATATTATAGATTACTAACTAAAAATTGAAAAAACAACAATAAATAATAAAAAATAATAATAAAAAATTGAAAAAATCAAAAAATTCTTAAAAAATTGCAAAATAACCCTTTTTCGGGTGAAAATTGAAAAATAACCCTTTTTCGGGTTAAAATTGAAAAAAGATGTTACATAAAAAAAGTTTGTAAGATTTTCTAACAGCATATATGCAAAGTATTTTGATTTATTTGAAAATAATTGAAAATAGATTTTTCAAGGACGGTGTCGAGGTCACGGGGTCGGTGTCGTTTTTCGAAATTTGTTAACTTAATATAATAGAAGATGTTTCGTTTTAAATTAAGAAATGTTAAAATTATTAAGTTAAAAACATTTGATTTTAATGACACTTAAAATTAGACACAATATTATAGGTTACTAACTAAAAATTGAAAAAACAACAATAAATAATAAAAAATAATAATAAAAAATTGAAAAAATCAAAAAATTCTAAAAAAGTTGCTAAATAACCCTTTTTCGGGTTAAAATTGAAAAAAGATGTTACATAAAAATAGTTTGTAAGGTTTTCTAACAGCATATATGCAAAGTATTTTGATTTATTTGAAAATAATTAAAAATAGATTTTTCAAGGACGGTGTCGAGGTCACAGGGTCGGTGACGTTTTTCGAAATTTGTTAACTTAATATAATAGAAGATGTTTCGTTTTAAATTAAGAAACGTTAAAATTATTAAGTTAAAAACATTTGATTTTAATGACACTTAAAATTAGACACAATTTTATAGGTTACTAACTAAAAATTGAAAAAACAACAATAAATAATAAAAAATAATAATAAAAAATTGAAAAAATCAAAAAATTCTTAAAAAATTGCAAAATAACCCTTTTTCGGGTTAAAATTGAAAAAAAATGTTACATAAAAATAGTTTGTAAGGTTTTCTAACAGCATATATGCAAAGTATTTTGATTTATTTGAAAATAATTGAAAATAGATTTTTCAAGGACGGTGTCGAGGTCACAGGGTCGGTGACGTTTTTCGAAATTTGTTAACTTAATATAATAGAAGATGTTTCGTTTTAAATTAAGAAACGTTAAAATTATTAAGTTAAAAACATTTGATTTTAATGACACTTAAAATTAGACACAATATTATAGATTACTAACTAAAAATTGAAAAAACAACAATAAATAATAAAAAATAATAATAAAAAATTGAAAAAATCAAAAAATTCTTAAAAAATTGCAAAATAACCCTTTTTCGGGTGAAAATTGAAAAATAACCCTTTTTCGGGTTAAAATTGAAAAAAGATGTTACATAAAAAAAGTTTGTAAGATTTTCTAACAGCATATATGCAAAGTATTTTGATTTATTTGAAAATAATTGAAAATAGATTTTTCAAGGACGGTGTCGAGGTCACGGGGTCGGTGTCGTTTTTCGAAATTTGTTAACTTAATATAATAGAAGATGTTTCGTTTTAAATTAAGAAATGTTAAAATTATTAAGTTAAAAACATTTGATTTTAATGACACTTAAAATGAGATACAATATTATAGGTTTCTAACTAAAAATTGAAAAAACAACAATAAATAATAAAAAATAATAATAACAAAATTTAAAAAATCAAAAAATTCTAAAAAAATTGCTAAATAACCCTTTTTCGGGTTAAAATTGAAAAATAACCCTTTTTCGGGTTAAAATTGAAAAAAGATGTTACATAATAAAAGTTTGTAAGATTTTCTAACAGCATATATGCAAAGTATTTTGATTTATTTGAAAATTATTGAAAATAGATTTTTCAAGGACGGTGTCGAGGTCACGGGGTCGGTGTCGTTTTTCGAAATTTGTTAACTTAATATAATAGAAGATGTTTCGTTTTAAATTAAGAAATGTTAAAATTATTAAGTTAAAAACATTTGATTATAATGACACTTAAAATTAGACACAATATTATAGGTTACTAACTAAAAATTGAAAAAACATCAATAAATAATAAAACAAGGAGGGGGTCCTTTATGTTTATTTCATAAACATTATGCTTCCTCATTGTGTGAAGCAAAAAATTCGCTTCCTCGTGAAGGAAGCAATGAATTTGTCCAATTCAATTGATTGATTTAAAAAATTTCGAGTTAAAAATGTTTTAAATTAATTAAATTTTTTGAAAAATAAAGAAAATTTTAATTAATTTTGAGTGTAACATAAACTTTATATATACGAATCGATTCGTTTTAATGCAAGGAATACAATTATTTTATTCATCAACTTGAATTTAAAAAAAACACAAAATTTTTTAGCTAAAATATGAATTTTCGATTTTTCAATTTTTATTAATTCTCAAATTTTAAATCAAATCTATACTTTATATATACCAACCAATTCGTTTCAATGCAGGGAATAAAATTATTTCATATATAAACATGAATTTAAATAAACACATCATTTTTTAGCTAAAATGAGAATTTTTGATTTTTTAACTTTCTTTAATTGTTTAAATTTCAATCAAATCTATACTTTATATATATCAATCGATTCATCTTGACATAAAGAAGACGATTATATTATATATTACCTTAAATTTTTCGATTTAAAAATTTTTTCAATTAAAAAAAAATTTTTGGAAAAAAGACGATAAAATTTTTTTTTTGGGGTATTTTTAAAAATCCTCTCGTTATTTCTTAGAGATTAATGTGTTAAATAAGCCTACCAAATTTTATCCAAATCCATTAAAACCTGTTAAAGATATCGTGTTCACAAAAACGATCCACACACACATACACACACACACACACACACACACATACACACACACATACATACATCCGGACAATTGATCAGGATCTCATATAACATGTTTCTATATAGAGGAAAATTTGTTTTCACCATTTTTAAAAAGTTTATAAACGAAAGGACTACATAGCTTCCTCCACGAGGAAGCAAAATAATAATAAAAAATTGAAAAAATCAAAAAATTCTTAAAAAATTGCAAAATAACCCTTTTTCGGGTAAAAATTGAAAAATAACCCTTTTTCGGGTTAAAATTGAAAAAAGATGTTACATAAAAAAAGTTTGTAAGATTTTCTAACAGCATATATGCAAAGTATATTGATTTATTTGAAAATAATTGAAAATAGATTTTTCAAGGACGGTGTCGAGGTCACGGGGTCGGTGTCGTTTTTCGAAATTTGTTAACTTAATATAATAGAAGATGTTTCGTTTTAAATTAAGAAACGTTAAAATTATTAAGTTAAAAACATTTGATTTTAATGACACTTAAAGTTAGACACAATATTATAGGTTACTAACTAAAAATTGAAAAAACAACAATAAATAATAAAAAATAATAATAAAAAATTGAAAAAATCAAAAAATTCTTAAAAAATTGCAAAATAACCCTTTTTCGGGTTAAAATTGAAAAAAGATGTTACATAAAAATAGTTTGTAAGATTTTCTAACAGCATATATGCAAAGTATTTTGATTTATTTGAAAATAATTGAAAATAGATTTTTCAAGGACGGTGTCGAGGTCATGGGGTCGGTGTCGTTTTTCGAAATTTGTTAACTTAATATAATAGAAGATGTTTCGTTTTAAATTAAGAAATGTTAAAATTATTAAGTTAAAGACATTTGATTTTAATGACACTTAAAATTAGACACAATATTATAGGTTACTAACTAAAAATTGAAAAAACAACAATAAATAATAAAAAATAATAATAAAAAATTTAAAAAATCAAAAAATTCTAAAAAAATTGCAAAATAACCCTTTTTCGGGTTAAAATTGAAAAATAACCCTTTTTCGGGTTAAAATTGAAAAAAGATGTTACATAATAAAAGTTTGTAAGATTTTCTAACAGCATATATGCAAAGTATTTTGATTTATTTGAAAATAATTGAAAATAGATTTTTCAAGGACGGTGTCGAGGTCACGGGGTCGGTGTCGTTTTTCGAAATTTGTTAACTTAATATAATAGAAGATAATAGAAGATGTTTCGTTTTAAATTAAGAAATGTTAAAATTATTAAGCTAAAAACATTTGATTTTAATGACACTTAAAATTAGACACAATATTAAAGGTTACTAACTAAAAATTAAAAAAACAACAATAAAAAATAAAAAATAATAATAAAAAATTGAAAAAATCAAAAAATTCTTAAAAAATTGAAAAATAACCCTTTTTCGGGTTAAAATTGAAAAAAGATGTTACATAAAAATAGTTTGTAAGATTTTCTAACAGCATATATGCAAAGTATTTTGATTTATTTGAAAATAATTGCAAATAGATTTTTCAAGGACGTTGTCGAGGTCACGGGGTCGGTGTCGTTTTTCGAAATTTGTTAACTTAATATAATAGAAGATGTTTCGTTTTAAATTAAGAAATGTTAAAATTATTAAGTTAAAAACATTTGATTTTAATGAAACTTAAAATTAGACACAATATTATAGGTTACTAACTAAAAATTGAAAAAACAACAATAAATAATAAAAAATAATAATAAAAAATTGAAAAAATCAAAAAATTCTAAAAAAATTGCAAAATAACCCTTTTTCGGGTTAAAATTGAAAAAAGATGTTACATAAAAAAAGTTTGTAAGATTTTCTAACAGCATATATGCAAAGTATTTTGATTTATTTGAAAATAATTGAAAATAGATTTTTCAAGGACGGTGTCGAGGTCACGGGGTCGGTGTCGTTTTTCGAAATTTGTTAACTTAATATAATAGAAGATTTTATGATTCGTTGAAAATTTTATGTTATTAAATTAGAAAAAATTAACACGCGTGCACAAGCGCAAGGCCGGTCTGGTTATAAATAAATAGTAAGTCACAACGTCATTTTTAATTCGGCAGTACTGGTTAATAACAGAAAAATATATAAAAAAATATGATTACAATTTTTTTAAGACAATCTGTTTTATTGATATGTACATACAATAAATTTATTTACAATTCTCGATTTTGACCAATAATGAATGATATCATTTAACAAAATACTACACACTCACCGACCACGCGTTGATATATTTGAATTTTTGTTTTTGGTCAGAGCTACGTGAACGTTGCTGTCGATAAAACTGCTATACCCTGCACACTTGTCTTGTTTTAATTCGTAAATATATCAACTGTCGTTATAGGTGATTTCGATCATTGATGATCGACTTTAATTAATTTAAGAATTGGATTTAATTATGATTTCATATAAACATTATAGTAATTATCAAGATTATAAAACACATTGGATTTTCCCTATGGTAAGAAGTTCTCCCTTCACCGTGATGCATTGCAGCTGGATGTTCCTCTGAAAACATATTTTAATTCCTTATTCATAAATTTACTTGTATCTAACAAAAATGATGATATAATTAACTTTGCAGAAAATTTTAATATCAAAAAAAATTTCCAAAATATTTTTTCCTATATATAATTATTTTAAATTAAAATTGTGTAACTTTCATCCTTTCCTTGGGAGAAAAAATATAAAAAAGATGATTTAGTGGTGGATATTAAAAAAGAAATATAATGTGAAACTACAACCTATGAATAATGGAGTACATTATGTAGGGAAAAAAAAAAATATATATATATATATATTGTAAAAAGAGAGAAGAAGAAAGAAAAGTTGATTTTCAAGACCGCTATACTTCCTTGTTTGCTTCATTGGACATTTACATTGTTATTCGTAAACGATCGATCATTCCATTACTGTTCTTTTCTGAGTTTCTTAGTAAGTTAAGCAAGTTCAACACGACTAAAGGATGTGGATGTCCTTCAGGATAATAGATTTTTAAAGTAGACGACTTGAAAAATTGAAGAAAAGGAAAATAGAAAAAAAAGTGTCGCAGATGACCGGAAATAAATGACATTTAACCACTGACGTAGATAAATTGTTCTTTTCTTTAAGTCATATATAAACTTTTTTGTACAATTTAAAAATACTACGATACCCTGTCCTTAGCTTGTTACTTAACATCTCGTTTCGACTTTTTTTCCAATCATAATAACCATTTTTTTTTATTTCTTTAACTATTTATACTTTAGATATACATAGATTTTTAATTTTAACTAAAGCAATATATAATTATAAAAATAAAATTGTAAGTTTAAAAAAATAAATTATATAAAAAGAATATTACCATTTACAACGTGGACCCTAATGGTGCTGGGATTGGCGTTGCTTGGCCCGCAAGTATATTTGCCCGAGTCACTTGGCATAGCTTTCTGAATCATCAGGCGACTCGTTGTTTCAGGTCCTTTTTCCGTAACGAGGCTGATGCCACCGCGCGGTGAGTCAAAATTTATTTCCTGCAACCGATGAATTATGTTACATAATATTTTTTACTTTCTGTTTTTCTAGACCATTACACAAACATGTAGATTAATTTTCACCATAATTTTCTTCTACGTTTATTATTCACATAATTCGCGTTTGTAAGTGCATTTATAACTTTGCGAGTGCAATTATTTTTTATTACCAAAAAAAAAGAAGAGAATCAGTTTAATCATTAAAAATATATAAATAAAAAAGAAAATTGTGATTTGTAATTCAGGAAGCATTAGTTGAATTTAGGTTTTCCATTAATAATTAATTCCGTTAATAATAAATAAGATTCAGTATTAGCTATTTAATTCCGTAATTAATATTCAGGATATTCGAGGTAGTCAATCAAAATTATTTCATGATTAGGCCTACTTATAAAATTTATCTCTAAATGATGATCGTAAAATTTCAAACGTGGAGGAAAATATATCAACTGGGACATTTCATCTGCATTGATGTATTTGACACCCTGGAGCGTATAGCCAGAAGCTACAATTTTAACACATAGATGATAAGTTTCTAAACTCCGATAGCAGATAATCATAAATTCTATTTTATCTTCATTGCTTATAAATTCTCAACACTTTTTCAGCAAGTTTTCATAGCAAACTTACAAATTTTGCATGACGAGTTTGCTGCAAATTAACAATAATAAAAAATAAATATAATCAATGAGAAATGGGTATAAATCGAAGCGTGGAAAGCCTCCTAATGACTGGTTAGTCAGTATTTTTTATAAAATGTTTTCGTTTTTCTATTAGTTCCCTACATTCTATTAAAATATGCAAAATATAATTCTTTTCGTTTAAAGTCACCATACATAAATTGCAGTAATCATTTCTTTTAAAACAATAAGATTTTTTCATCCATACAAGTCTCGGTTGATATTTGTTCAATAATTTAAGTTGAATAAACAATCTGTAGTCATCAAAAGGAATTCTTTTGTTTTTCAAAAAATGCGGCTCGTTTTTCATTTCAAGGTAAGGATAGAGGAGTAGTGAGGAGGAGGATTGCGCCCTCCGAAAGTCTTCTTGTTTAAGGTGACTTTCATATAAATTTAACCAACGTGTTTTAAATTTTTGTAGTGTTTCAAGACTTAGAGACTCCCAAGCCTCCCTCTCACCAAACTCCTCAAAGATGTTGTTATCAAAGATGTTTGATATGATTATCAAATTGAGCAATCTAGACGTTTTTTTCTTGCAGCCTTAAAATTCCATTAAATACAGTAAACCAATTGTTAGCCAAAAAATTAAATATAATAGTAAATTTCTTATAAGATAAATATTTCATTTGTAATTTATAAATAAGTTGCCTCTTCCCAAGGAAGAATTCCTTTTCGGTGATTTTTGAAACGATTGTCTACACAGTTATTAAGATTTAACGTTTCTGAGACTGGGTTTTGTTAAAATTAGCTCTATATCTGTTTCGCTGAGCTGACTTCTCATTTACGTCAGACCCGATGATTGAAAGCTCTTTTGCAACAGTCTTGATAACTTGTCACGTGTTCCTTAGACTTGGTTAATGTTCATGTCTATTGTTTCGAAACCTAGTGAAACCCGTCTAGCTGTTTACGTTCAGAACAGATTAAATAGAAAACAATTCATCTGGTTTATTTATTCTTAGACTCTTTATATCCAAATGTGATTTTTTTGGGGCAGCTAAGGAAACGTGTTTTCCACTGTTTTTAATAGATTTGGATTACAAAATTCAATTCAGATGGTTGTGTTCTTGTTTTTTTTCCAAATTAATAGAAGTTTCTGATTACAAATTTTACTGCTGTAAATTTTATAGTACTATTTTACTACTATACTTTCAGATTATATGCATGATATCGGAGTTGATGTTCGTTAAACAGTCATTTCCTCTTTATACAAAGTGTTCACTTTCCTAGATATCTAGATATCCGTTAAAAATAGTATTAAGATTACATCAAATATTGTCACCACTGATAGACACTTTATTCAAGTTCCAGATGTATTTTCTGTTGAATTTTACGATTTTATTTTGACGCTGTTAGACACATTGAATTTTAATGATCGCGAAGGTTTGAATACTAATTACAGTTACTCCATTTGATGAGACACAAATTTTATCACTTGACATTAAAACTTTACACTAAAGTGACTCAAATACAGGAAATTTAATTTTTAATTCATCATTCAGTGTTCATTTAAAAATTTAATCAAATGCCTAAAAATCTGTTTTCTAATTTTGATTTTGTTCTACTAAATACTGAATTATCGTTAAATGTATAGTTTCATAGCATCCTAAAAAGGGGTTAATTAAAAAAAATTACATGGTTTTCTAAACCCTGATTTTTGGCTTCATAAACTTTTGAGGCTTTTTCAATTAAATTTTCTTCTCTTTTACTAGAATCGATCCAAATGGGTATCTTAGTTTACAAAAATTTCCTTCCTTGTGCCACCTTACTAAAACCAATGGATAAAATGGTTGAACATTAAAAATCGTTTAGGAGAATAAAATCTATTTACAACAAATAATGCAATTAAGTTCATATTGTTCATTAGATCACTTCTTATCCGTAATGAAACGTTCGTTAAAGTAAATCAACTAATCAATACTCCAATCAGTATACCCATCCTTAAAAAAAAACCGCTGAATGAAATAGAAAAACGCAGCAGAAAATAAAAGCTGTAAATATACTAAAAAAAAGAGGTATACGAATAAAAAGAAGAGATAAATAAATAAAAAAAAAATTGAAGTGACCTTTCTTGCACAAGGTGACATATGCATCACGTGTCGAATATTGTCTAGAGATAGGTTAATTGATTGCAATGGGCATTGAACATGAATAGTTTATAGATGTGCTAGTGAAATACGTTTTGCGACCGAAACGCAGGTACACATCACAATAGGACATTTGACTGAGCGTAGCACTCACCTCACTATTATGACTCCAAACCATCATTGGAGGCGGCTCGGGGGCATATTTGACGAGACAGGTTAGGTTGATGGTGCTTCCTTTGTTGACGAAAAGATCTGGAGCTCCTACTATTATCGTCACTGGTTCTAAAACATCATTAAAATTCCCTAGAGATAAAATAATTCCCTTTCCTCGTTTTCATTTATTTCATTTACCAAAATTTAATAAACTCTCTCCATTATCCTATCTCTATACGGATAGGATAATTTTAAAACAATGAAAAAAAATTCCTGATATATAATTTCATATTATAATTTTTATTCATTAGAATTTCCTTTCATTAAAAAATTTATTATAATAGATATATATATGAAAATAATATTCTTACAGTGATTTCCTTTTTGATTTTAACTTTTATTGTTTTTTTTTTAACCGATATTTTAAAACAGATTGCACATTTCAGTACTGCAAACACGTTAAAACTTGGGCACATGTAATTTCCCAAATTGAACCTAATGTACACAAAATTATTCAAATTTATTCAATTCCGCTCCAAATGTACACTACAAACAATTTTATTGGATCAATAAAGAGTTTATAATGTTATGATACGTTGTTATGTAAATGAAGGCATAAAGTTTTTTCTAAACTAGTTACTGTTTTTTTAAATAGAGAATATCAAAATTGACTTTATGAAGAATTTATAATATATAGTTAGAATTATTTCATACTTCAATCAACTGTAAAAAAAATATTTTCCAATTATTTTGGAAGAAAACTTATTTTTAGATTTCGAGATTAGAAAAATAAAATGAATCTTACCAACTACTGTTAGATAAACAGGATGACCAATAGGAGGAGTTGTGGATATTTGGCACTCGTAAGTTCCCGAGTCTTTTCGTTGAGGATATTTTATCCTCAATGTCCATTCTTCGGAGTGTGGTGAGTGAAGGGCTTCGAAACGTTGATCGCTTGTGTATGTGTATCGACCGACAGTTAGTAAGTGAATATCTCGATGTCTTATCCACGACACCTGTAAATTAAAATTAGGTAAATTTAAAAAGTTGAAAGTAATTTTTAAATTAAATAATCAAAGTGCTAATGGAATTAAGGAGCAAATACCAATAATTTCACTTTGTTATTATGATCTTCTTCATCTAGTTCTGAATTTGCCACCAAACCTGCTAATCTACTTTTGGCGAGAATTAAAATTAATCTTTGACAATTAGAACTCCGGAACTCTGGTAACTGCTGTTATCCAGAGGATTTAGACAAAATCATAAAACTTCAACATTATTTGGGAACTCTATTGTTACCTTACAGTAATCATTGCAATACTTATTAATATTATAAACGACCCTAAAATTAAATAATTGGGACTAACCGTCCGAATTTAAATGATGACGACGATTATCACCTCGTCTGAATTTTTGAAATATTTCATCAAAAGAGAATGACACTAACTCGACGAACACCAGAATGAGAATGAGGGATCAACAAAACAAACAGCATTTTCGTCTTCCTGGTGTTCTTGAATACTTGGTACTCAATAAATGTAATAATTTATCTATTTATTAAAATCCCATTCCTCCTTCTCCCTGTACCCTTAGCTCAGATCCTTCTGCTCTGTAAATGAAACAGGAAATATCACTGAATCACCGAAACGGAAAAAATAGATTCTATTTATTTATTTCACTATTTTTTGAGACGGAACAAATTCTAGAACACAAGTTTAGATGTCCTGATGCAAAGACAAGAGAGGCCATATTAGGTAATGGCTTACGCAAGCCGAACAATGATCAAAGGTGTAGCTAAATTACCAAACAGATTACAACTGAAATGTAATTTGTGTGACAAGGAAATTTCGATCCTACCTTGAGAGGTTTCATTTCACGGTCATTACCGAATACAGTTCATTGCGTTGGTCACATCATCTCCATAATCCAAGTGGTTAAATGGGCGTTAGACCTCCTTACATGTGACTTTGATGTAATACACCTTAAAGGTGAGCACGTGATGCCAAATGCCTTGCAGTAAATGTATTAGACGTTGTAGGAACTAGGCACGTTTAATTATACTACCGGTGCAAAGTGTTGGGAATTGATGGAAGGGGAACGAAGCAGTACATCGATAAATCATTCTTAATATTCTCATGGTTTGTCAAAGACGTCTGTCCATTGGGAGATTAATGATAGCAAATGTATTGTATCAGTATTAATTCTACGAGATCATTTGGATTATTTTTCACGACTTATAAGGAAAGCTTTTATGATTTTTTAATGATTTGATTATTTTTCAGATTCATCAAAGGAATTTCTTTAATCGGAGACACCACATCAATATTTGACTTTCTTCATTGTATCAGCTTTTGTAATTTAGCATGAATCAGTATGATTAAATCCCAATTAGAAATAAATGATGATTTTAGGTGATATATACTTTCAGTATTATGGGATATTCCTAAAGGAAATCGAATGGAATTATTTGAAATTGTTATCCACATATATTTTGCAAATTCATGATCTTGGGAATTATTGCGCAGAATTGAATAATATTAATCGCATATAAATGATATGAGTGAATAAATTGTAGATTAAAATTTAGTCAATTCATTGACGAAACTGTATAAAAGCAGAAACGTCAATTGAAATCAAAATCCTCGAAATTATTATCCCTCGATGTTTAATAAGATTTGTTTCCCTCTATTGCTATATAAAGAATTCCATACACAGAATTCATATCTCGTTTCAACTAAACAATAATATTGACATATAAACAAAAACGGAAATAATTAAAGAAGTCGAGATTCAGGCGGAAGTGATTCAGTGTCCTCTTTAATCATTTAAATAAATGAAACTCGTTTTTCTAAAATTCAGAAAACCCACAAACTTATTGAATTTTCACGAATTGTTTAATGATCAGAAACATAGAGACAAAATAAATAACTTTGGAAATTTCAGTAATTCAATTAAATCATATTACAATCAACTGTAATTAGGTTTTAATTCAACAAAGAGAGATTCTCTAAATAACATGAGGAAATTTTATTTAAAATTTAAAATCAGTAAAACCTTTAACAAATATTATTACATTATATATATATATAGATATTGGATTTGTAGTGAAATGCTTGTGTAACGCGTTTGACCCATTTACGCCATTTTGATGATACAGTGAAGGATATTAAAAAGAATTTTTTTTTTTTATCAAATATTTGAATATTGTTCGAAAAATTCTTTTTATCATCACTTTTTTTTAGAATTACAAACAACAAGGGATAATTGCTTGTTATAAATAATACAAAAACTTATTATTCTTTTTTTGGTTTTCATGATTCATCCAGGCTTTGGTTCTCTTTTTAATTTTTCTTCCTTTATGTTTTCCCCACTGACGTTATAAAAATATGCACTTGCACTCTCGAGAGACGGGAGGAAACTCACATTTTTCAATTTCCTTCATTTCTCTCTCTCTCTCTCTCTAACAATTGCATAAAATCGAGCATAATCCGGATGCCAATAACGTTGAAATTCAAAGTACAGTTACGCTTATAACTAATTTACATGCTCAGAAATTGAATACACGAGTCAAGAGAATAACTGATTTGTTACTATGTTATTTTTATCTATGAGCTCTATATCAAAAATAATTCGCATAGTTGGAATTTTTATTAAAGTTAATTATTAAATATTAATTACATTCAGAATTTATATAATGTAAATAAATATTTAAAAATTTTTTAAATTTAAAGAAAAAAATATATTATTATTTGGTACATGTTATTATAAATTCTTCAGTGAAATTTTTTTCTAAAAGGATTTTAGTATCAGTTTAGTCTTCTTTGAATTTCATAAGTAAACATGGTTTCCTCTTTCAATTAAATTCAACCCTTTTATTTACAGGTCGACAGTTATGATGAAAACACACATTCAATTTAGAATAGAATTATTCGATTCAACAGATATTCACATTTCTGGAAAATGCATGAAATCGTTATTGTTGTTGCTTTCACAATTCATCTTTTGAGAATATTCACCACATCTATATATATATAGTAATGCGCAACTACAATGACAAATTGTCAAAGAAATAAAAAGTGTTACAAATTTTATATGATGTGTATTTCAAAATGCAATTAAATTGTTTTATCATTTCAATAAAAAAAATCTTCACAGTAGTAAATATATATATATATATATATATATATATATGTATTTTTTAATAAAAGAAATTGATAATTTTAGAAACGATATATGTATAGTCTAGTATAAAGGATATATAGAATATTACGAATAACAAAGCTTGAATAAAAATAATTTAATAATGAAATAATAAGAAAATACGATACAAAAGTTTTGTTGAATATATAAAAAAAATATATAGTTTTTGCCCTAATTTATGTCTATGACCCAGTTTGGATATTTGATAATAGTTTATATATACCCCGTCGATGGAAGTCCACTACCTAGTATCAGGTAAATTCTTGATAAACCGCGGGGTAAACCATGTTATGGTGGCGAGGACACCATAAATTTTTCACTAAAGGACATCCAAAAACCAAGATGTAAGGTAAGAAGAAAAAGAGATATGATAAGCAAAGGTTTAAGTAAAGACGTTTACTGTGCAGGGGAGGGATACCTTAGTGCCGGCGATACTGAAAATAAGCAAGTTGGCTTAGAAATCCAGTGACAACAGTGTTGCAGTATTGGACATCTTGGGAGTATTACAACATCCAATGCCACAAAGACGATGGACCATGAAGGCATTCAGTTTCTTAAGGTTCCGCAAGTCCGGTTGGAAAAACTTGGAAGTAGAAGATGAAGCGCTTTAAGCGTTAGGCTGGAGGAAGTTGAGTCTCTTCAGAGGATCGACGAGAAGATCGTCAAGATGATAAAGTCTTGCGAAGTCGAGATGAATGTCAACATGACTTTTAAGAACGAAGTTAAGACTCTTTTTGCGAAGGTGACGGTAGCACAGAATCCAAATCAAACCAGTAAGAAGAAAGCGAACAGTGGATCTACAATAGTGATCCGAAACAGGTCATAACGAATAGTTGCAAGAGGTTCTTGTACCAGCCGGACTATACTCATATGAAAGCTCTCTACTCTAGAAATTGTTAATTAAATCAAATTGCGGGTTTAAATAATTTATAAAGTGCCTCTAACTCTTAGAACTTCTAACGTAAGTCAGTAATTAAATATTAAACCCCATGAATAATCCCGACGACTTCTAACTTTTAACCCTTTGAACGTTATAATCTATTAATTCTTTAATTAAAACCATTAACTATTTACCCATCTTATAACCAATCCTTTTGGGGAAAAAGAAAATTGTTTCGAGTCTTTTACTTATTCTTATAATTTGGGATATCGTTCATCCTCGACTCTAATTATCATCTTCGATTAATTAAGGGATCTGCATTATTATGATCCACAGCTACTATTTTTAAATCTGAAATTATTGCAATACTTATGAGGTTCTAGAAGATAGGGAAATTCGTATTTGTTAATTGGAGATTTCCAAGAGGAACTCAAGATTGAAAGTAGGACCATCATTTTCTTCTGGATCTTTGACAGTGGATTCAAGGGCAGATAAATTAGCTGAAACAGAAACTAGAGAGCTATTTATTAAGCCTACAATTGGTGTTTCTGTTCTTGGGATTTTAACAGTTTGTTAATAACAGAACACCAGAAGGAATAGACTACGAGCTGTAGATTATCAAAACACTTATGGGAATTATTATAATCGTAGTGGGAGTAACAGATACGCATAACACGCCCTCGGAATGGATATGGCAACTTTGGTGGCGAAGGTGCAAAGGCTTACAAGAAAGGGAGAGCTCCTGATCAAATTTGGAGGAGACTCCAATAAGGAGGCATTTACTGCTGAGGTCACCAAAGTGGTTGGAAGCATGAGGAAGGTGCAGATCTAGATCGACAGGTCACACTGGAGATCCGCGACCTGGATTGCCTTAACCAGGAAAAAGAGGTCCATCAGGAAAGTGAATGTGCTCCAGAATCCAGGAATGTGACGGTC